GCTTGGCCGTGATGAGGCCTGGGTCTCCTCCTCGGGTCAGCCTTGTGCACAGCAACCTCCTCCCTGGTCTGCGGTGCCCGGAGCCCGTTCGCATCTCCTTCACGAGCAACGTGATGCGGCATTGAACACACCTCTTGCAAAAAGTGTCTCCTGCGTTTCTTGATGTGCAGTGTAAAACCACTGAGGAGTATATCCAGCTGGTGGAAAACCACTCGGATCCGCTTTAGCAGGCGCCGACGTAGGAGAAAACATTGTTTTGGCTACTTTGAATAGACAGTGCGTCTTCGGATGGCAGCTGGCTATGAAAGGATTTTTAAAAATACATCCCATACTACAAAGTTCCGGTGGTGATTTTGTTTACCCCGCCAGCTAAGAAAGCAGACAGGAACAATATTTTCAGAAAGAGGAAACCGAGTAGGAAAGAAGGACCCACACACATCTTGCACGCAGGAGGCTGCCGCGGGGCGTTTGTCCTGTGGTGAAACACGGCAGAAACCCGTGTGCTCGCCGGGTGCAGCGGGGTTGTAGAATGTGACAGGGGTGTAGGTAGGGCTGCGAGTAGCACCTCTGTCCTAGAACAAGAGTCTGCTGCTGCGCGGATAATTCTCACACAGGTGCCGAGGAGCAGGTTTGTATCTTTCCAGGAGCACCGACCGGGATATACGCAGCTCGGTCCGTGTTGCGGACTTCGGCAGCCCAGCGCAAGGGGACGCAGTGAGGGGCTGCTAACTGTGCTGTGCTCACAGGGCAGGCTGTGCCCTGAACGACGCTGCTTGTTTTCCCAGGGAAAAGCTCCACGCAGCCTTGGCCTGATGAGTGTTGGCAAGGGGCACCTCTTGCTGACAGCCGTGAGGTGCACAGTCGGGTACTGCTGAGGGATTGGCACGGTGGCTGAGGCGGGGGTGCTTATGCTGAGGGGGTAAAAAAAGGTGAGAGACGTTTGCAGCCTCCAGAGTTTCTCCTCCAGGAAGGGAGGAGTGGCAAAACCAGGGACTAGCAGGGATCTTTGCTACGGATGCGTGTCCTTGGACTCTGCTCAAGAGAACTGGGGAGGCTGTGGGAAAATGCGCCGAGGGCTGGAGCCCCTCTGCTATGGGGACAGGCTGAGAGAGTTGGGCCTGTTCAGCCTGGAGAAGAGAAGGCTCCGGGGAGACCTTATAGCACCTTCCAGTACCTGAAGGGGCTACAAGGAAGCTGGGGGGGACTTTTTACAAGGGCCTGTAGTGACAGGACAAGGGGTAACGGGTTTAAATTGAAAGTGGGGAGGTTTAGATTAGGTATCAGGAAGAAGTTCTTCCTGGAGAGGGTGGTGAGGCACTGGAACAGGTTGCCCAGAGAAGCTGTGGATGCCCCATCCCTGGAAGTGTTCAAGGCCAGGCTGGATGTGACTTTGAGCAACCTGGTCTAGTGGAAGGTGTCCCTGCCCATGGCAGGGGGGTTGGAACTAGATGGTCTTTAAGGTCCCTTCCAACCCAAACCATTCCATGGTTCTCTGAATCCTGAAATGCTGGCAGCTGCTGGGTAAATTCAGGCAGTTACCAGGATGAGTGTCCTGGAGGAGAGTTGGGAGGTGATGAACAGGACAGCAGTGACAGCAAACAAAAGTATGTGCTAGGCCAGATTTCCCATGCGCTTCCAGATGCTGTTAGATGGGATGGCCTAGAACCAAGATCCTGCCAGGGCTCCTGGGTTGCCCCTTCAGTCAGGAGGCTGGGGAGCATGGATGTTCCTTCTGGCTGTTGTCTCATCCCTCTGCTGGCAACACTGCAAAGTTGTGTAAGAAGAAGAATCAGTATTTCAGAGTCTTGTAATGAAAGGAGAGGTGACGTCAGGGGGAAGTGTGTTCCCACCAGTATGCTCAGTATTTTCTATTAAAAATGTAGCAGGCAGCATGGATTTTGACAGTTCCCTGCAGGCGTGTGCCTGAGAAACTGGGGATCCCCCTACCTTTTCCTTCAAAAATACAGGCATGTGACTCACCTGTTGTCTAGGGAGAAGAGGGGAGTTCAGTGCTGGACACACCTTGCCTTTGGGCTCGTGGGCTTGTTCTGCACCTCTGGACTGTCCTCTGTAGGATGTTGGTTTGAAGCTGTCACTTCACTGACGGAGAAGGTGGCAATTTGGACTTAAAAACTCATCCTCCTCATCTTTTTGTTTTCATTCCTTGTTATGCTCTGTGTTGCTTAACAGTTTGGAAATGAAAACCCGTTTTATAAATTATCTGACGATATAGGAATTCAAATATAAACCTGAAAACAGGTACAGTACAGTGGATTGGAAAGTACTCTGGTCATGGCCCGGTGCCTTTTGATGAGGACAAATTCCATCGCGCTTCCGCGTCAGTCCTCTGCACTCCTGTGGCGCATCGCTGGCACAGTATTTCATTGGAGCGTTGTAAATGTGTGTCTGTGCTGATGTATCTGGTGTTTGAGAATCCAAGAGCTGACTTGGCTGCTCTCCAGCTCTGCTTGATAATGGATCTTCAAGAAGAAATGCCCAATAGGTGCTTGTGAATGAATTAGTTTCCTCTCTGGGTTTGTTCTTCTTTCCCTTACACAGGTCTCCCAGGCAGCTGCAGAACTCCAGCAGTACTGTATGCAGAATGCCTGCAAAGATGCCTTGCTTGTTGGGGTTCCTGCCGGGAGCAATCCCTTTCGGGAACCTCGATCCTGTGCTCTACTCTGAAATCAGGTAATAAAGTCACAGGTACCATGACAACAACGCTAATTAGAGACTCAAACCTTTGGAGGGACAAGGGCACGTGGTGATAGTTTTTTGAATGTCGAGTTCTTGGTAGCAAAGTGTTCATCACTTCTGTGCTGGCTCTACGCATCGCTCTCTGTGTGGCAGCTGAAGCATCCCTCTTTCCTACAGCTCTTTCTAGAGGTGGTTTTTATGTGCTGGTGGTTTTTGTTTGGTTGATCGTTGTTCTGTGTTTGAGCAGCTCTAGGGTCATTAGCAGCATCCAAAATAGCAAAAACTGTCTGTGACACGGGGCTGTGTTTGACACAGCTGAACATAAAACCCGTCAGGTACCCAGCTTGAAGAAGTAAGAGGAAGCTGTGGCAGTTCCCAGCTTAAGCAAGGACCTCGCTTAGAGTAGTATTTGTCTTCAGCGTCCTACTGCCGTCCACTTGCTGTGTCTGTCGTGGGGCTCCTGTGGTTAGGGCAGGTACAGCACCAAGGGCGGTGGGAGCAGGGAGGAGCTGAGGCAGCCCGTAATCACGTCCTTCATAACCCTCATAGCACAGGTCTGCGAGAAGAGCTGCTCCCTTATGTCCAGCCTTTGCAAATCTTTGGGATCCAATTCCATGATTCCCACTCTTCACTCTCCCATCTGTCATGCAAATGCTGGTGATTGCAGCAGGAGGAAGAAAGGCTGTATGTGCCGCCTCTCTTGGGCAGGATCACACCATAAGTTCTGTTGGAAAATCTTAACTTCTTCCCCATGACAGACAAATGCGGAAGTAGGATATTCAGAAGGGGTTACTCTTCTTGAAGGGAAAAAGTAAAAATAGTTCCTGCTAAAGAGCTGAAAAAAAGCTATAGAGAGAGAGGAAGAACCCCTGAATCCTGTTCTTGAGCGTGCCGTCAACGTGAAGACGAATGTTTTCTTTCAGGGCAGAATTTAAACTAGAACATGACATACTTGTGAAGTTTCCCCTTCCTGCTGCCAGGGTTCCACAGCTTACAGCTGTGCCTGTGCCTCACCAGTAGCGTGGGTTTGATTGTTGCTGCATGGTTTTGACAGAGCAGGGTGAACCTGAAGACAGAGAACAACTGAGCGCGAGATGCTCTTCTAGAAAAACTTGGGGGGAGGCACAAGGAGAAGATTTTTTAATTTAGGTGCTACACTGAATTCTTCCTGGAAACGAGATAAAATTGATATGTGTTCTTCTGTTATTGAAGCAACCTTTCTGAAAAAAGTGTGTGTGTGTGTTTTGTCTGTGAGTGTGTGTGTGTGTGTATATATATATATATATATATTTCCAGGATTCAAGTTTGACTGCATCATCCAGACAGGATGCAAAATATTTTCTCAGGTTTGAGTTCAGTGGTTGATTTATGGTCCTTTTAGAAGTGCGTAGCTCAGCCCACGATGTCTTTCAGTCATCTTGTGCTGATACATCAATCATCTAGTTTATTATTGTTTAGTTACCTTAGGATCACAACAAATGACAGCAAAGTTGAAGAGCCATTTAAAAAAATAAATATTCAAGGGTGCCAGCATCCGAAAAAGGAAAGTGGTTATTCATTTTCTCTCATTGCAAAGGAGCTTTTGTGTTATAATTTGTAAGAGAAATGTGTACTGCCTTAGGAAGACAGCATTTATAAACCTTTTTTTCCCCCTTATAGGGAAGGTCATCGGGGAGTTGCCTTCAAGCATGACAAGAATAACAACTGCCTTTCCTTCACAAGAAAAGTCTTTCTCTGTGTCCTTTTGTGTGGCTGAAACAATGTTCTTGATATTTATCTGTTTGTTCCTGTGTATCCGTACTTCACTATCTTTGGCAATTTTCTTGAATTTTTCAATGTAACTCTTATTTTTTTCACAATCTTCACTATTGTTACTACACTCTGCTGACTACACAAATATTACATGAGAAGTTTACATTTTAGGAAAGAACAACACACAAATTTTTACCGTATTACTTACTCCTGTCTTGCTAAACCATTGCACTGGAACGATAGTAAAAGCTGTTTGCTTTCTCCAAAATAAAACTTCCAGAAAGTGAATCATTAAAGTATAAAACTACATGCTGTTAGTACTGAAGAAATGTTCTTGGTGGGGTGCACGTGTGTGGTGGAATCTTGCTTCCGTTAGTAAGACCTGAAACAAACTCCAGTTTTATTCGAGTGCATCCAAGTCCGTAAATGTCACATATTGGAAACTGCTGGACACAACATGTAGCACAGGTGTGACTCCTAACACTTCTAATCTGTAATACTTCTCCTGATTTGTACTGGTGAAGGTACTGCCGTGGTAGAATTTCCTTGACACGTTTAAAATGTGATGGAACAGACACTAAGAATGCATGACACTCAAAGATAAGATGCATGCGTAATTGTCAAGGTTTGCAATACACAAAACAACTAATGTGCTTGGTCATTTGCCTTCAGTTTTTTTATAGATCACTTTTACAACTAACTTTTTTAAATAAGTTTTTAATTTTGTCTACTTTCTATTGTTTGTATTGATCTTCTAGAAGTTTGGAAATAAAACTCC